AGGGAAGAGGGGAGGGGAGGGAAGGGAAACAAAAAGGAGAAGAAAAAGAAAGAGAAAGAGAAGCTGGGTCAGGTGAGGTGGTACAGGCCTATCTCTCAGAACTTGGGAGTCTGAGTCAGGAGGCTTGTCATGAGTTCAAGGCCAGCCTGGACTACATAGCAAAGCCTGTCTCAAAAAAGAAAACCTGATAGTGGAAATTAGATAGCTACATACAGAGAACGAAGCTGGGCCATGACCATATACTATGTACAAAAATTGAAAGATTTCCTTTGTGTGTATGTGCATATGCCAGCCTGACTTTATGTGTACTGTGTGTGTGCAAATGTCAGAAGAGTGGGTAGGCCAGACATGGTAGCGCACGCCTTTAGTCCCAGCATATGGGAGGCAGAGGCAGGTGGATTTCTGTGAGTTTGAGGCCAACCTAGTCTACATAGCTAATTCCAGGACAGCTGGAGCTACAGGGAGACCCTGTCTCAAAAAAACCAAAAAAAAAAAAAAAAAAAAAAGAGAAAAGAAAAAAACAGTGGGTAGGATCCCTGGAACCAGGGCTACAGATAGCTGTGAGTCAACTGATGTTGGTGCTGGGAACCCAGGTCCTCTGCAAGAGCAGTACTGGCTCTTAACTGCTGAGTCTCTTCAGCCCCAGGAAAATTAACTTGTAACGGACATGGTCTCTACATGCAGAACCATAAAAACCTGCTGTGCTTGGTGGCACAAGACAGCAGTCCCAGAACTTGGGAGGTGGAGGCAGAAGGCCATCCTCAGCCTCACAGGGAATGATGCCAGCCTGGGTTACAAGACCTTGACCCAAAAACACAAGGATAAAGTCCTGAGAAGAAAATACAGAGTTGAATCCTTATGGCCTTGAACTTGGGGATAGATTCTGATACAACACCACCACAAACACAGCAACAACTGATAAACTGCTAACTCCCATTAGAATAAAGATACTATCAAAGAAGGGAACAGATAAAGGACCAATACCCAGAACACAAGGGGAACTGTTAAAAAGAAGAAAGGGAGGGAAGGAAAGCACAGGGGCTGAAAAGCACATGAAGTATCTATCACTCAACACTATCAGTGAAATGCAAACCAGAGCCTCTGTGAGAGAGTTCTTTATACCTTAGTGTGAGGAAGACCAGACATTCAGATAAGGAACTGATGCAGATGAAGAAAGAGGAAGTAGGCAAAAGGTAAAATGATGTCGCCCCTTGGGAAACTGGTAGGCGATTTCTTAAGTTAAACCCAGAAAGGGTTAAAGATACAGCTCAGCGGTAGAGTGCTTGCCCAGCACGCATAAGGCCCTGGGTCCAACTACTAGTACTGGAGCAGCAGCAAGAACAACAAAAAAGTTAAACATAGGATTATAATATGACCCAGTAACTCCAAGAAATATACCTAAGAGAAATGAAGACACGTGTCCACCTAAAAAAAATGAATATTTCTAGCAGTAACATTCACAACAGCTCAAAAGAGGGGACCCATCCATTTTTTACACCTTTGCGTGAGGAGTAAAGACCTGTAGGATATTATGTCTATCAACTGATGAACGGATAAATGAAATGTGACAGATCTACACAAGGGAACATTGACTATTACTTGGCCATAAAAAGGGATAAAGGACCAACAGAAGCTACAATGGAGATGCACATTAACAACACAAGCCAAGTGACAGAAGATGGACTTCACACAGGGCCTGTATTTTAGGATTCCATGTCCATAAAGCAGGTAAATCTATAAAGAAAGACCATAGATTAGGGGCTGCTTAGGGCTGAGGGTGGAAAGGCTGGGGTATTGGGATTGGGGTAAGTTATGTACTAAAAGTGAGTGTAGGGAAGGTTCACAACTTCAAATACACTAAAAACCATTGAAACGCATGCTTTAAGGGAGCAAACTATGTGAATTATATTCTCAATCAATAAAGCTGGTATCAACTAAAAAATTAGTTCCCAGATTACAATGGTTCAACTTCACAACAGTGTAAGAGCCATAAGCAATCATTTGAATGGGAATCTTTTCCCAGGTCAGCTACATCCTCTCCCATGATATTGTGTAGTGGGTCAAGGCACTGCTGAGCCACATGATCCTGAGGACAAGCCCCAACTTTGCCCCACAATACTCAGCTAAGACATTTGGAACGGAACAGTCATGGTTCTCAGAGCATTCTTGACTCATATTTTCATCTTCTCAAGGGCTTCCTGTGAGATGATCAGATTTTTCTTTAAATGTGTTGACTGGGGTTGGAGAGATGCCTTTGTGTAAGGGTGCTTTGCCACCAACCCTGATGATCTGGTTCAAATTTTGGGAGAGAAGTGACTCCCAAGTTGTCCTCTGACCTACACGTGTCATGGAATACATGCTACACACACACACACACACACACACACACACACACACACACACATTTGAAGCCCTTTTCCCTGCTCCAAGCCTCAGGCTTCCATGCTGGCTAGCAGGGAGGGGCCTGCACATTCTGATCCTAACTTCTCCCTGCATGCTTATTAGTTATCAGTTTTATACGGTGGAAGAGGGTAGGAGCAGAAGCCCCGGCATAAACCAACCCCTGAAGCCCATCCCCTGAGGCTGGGCTCCAGGCTGGGAGTTTAGGTTGGATTTCTTCCTAGTTACTCAGGGAATGGGCCAGGAGGAAGGAACAGTCCACACGGCTTCCTGAGCAGCCCCTAAGCTGTGCTCCATGCACAGAGGAGGAAGGCCTGCAGAAAGGTAGTCAAGTGTGGTGGACAGCAAAGGCTGAGTCAAGAAAGAGGCCCCTGGCCAATGAGAGGGAAGGAGGGAAGGAGGAAGAAGGGAAGGAGAGAGGGAGGGAGGAAGAATGGAGAGAGGGAGGAAAGAGGAGGAAGAAGAAGAAGAGAAGGAGGGAGGGGAGGAGGGAAATAGATCAGAAGCTCAAAGCCAGCTTAGGCTACATAGGGAGACGCTGTCTCAAAAAACCAAAAATAAATAAGTAACATCATTGGTGGTATGAAGTTTCATCTTCACACAGTTCTGAACTGTACAGATGTGAGAGGAGCCTGGCCTGTTACATTGCAGAAGGGCAGGCTGGATCCGCAACAGCAGAGAATGGATTGTTACAGACAGAATGCATGTTTGACTGTTCTTAGTGAGAAGAGGTAATTGTGCATGTGAAGATGAAGGTGGCAACTTCCCCTATGTTCCACCAGTCCCTGTAAGGGAAAGTTCAATCCTAGATGAACTGAAATATAAACTTTATAAATGGGGAAAATGACTAGAGATGGAGATGGAGGTATTAGTTGTTTTTTTTTTTTCTTGAGCACTTTCTGTTCCTCGAAAACTAGAAGTTCTTGTCAACTTCTTATCAGAAGTTCTTGTCTTACAGGAATATGCCTGTAATCCCAGCACTCAGGAGGCTGAGGCAGAAGGAGTACTGTGAGTCAAAGGCACCTGGACTGCACATCAAACACCAAGTTAGGCAGGGCCAGATACCAAGACCCTATCTCAAAATAAAACAAACACCACCACCACTAAGCCCACCACAACTACTCAAGTGTTCAAGTGGCCTTCTTTTATAAATCTGAGTCCTCTGGTGGTCACGGCTCAGCCCAGTCCCTGTGTTTCTGTGCCCTTCCTTCCTACCCTGCACAGGATAGTCGTGAATAAGATGACCACCCCACCAGGTATCCAGGCAGATGAAAAGCCAGCCTGAAGTCACCTAGGTCTGGAATCTTCTTCCATCTGCAGACTCAACTCCATACAGTCTGAGTATTTCTGCACACAGTACCACACACTATATAGACTGGGTTTTCATATAAATACCTACGATAAAGTTTAATCTATAAGTCAGGCAATTGGTATAGAAAAACAGAACAATTACAACAATACCTATAATACAAGTGCCACCGTGGTGAGCATGTTCTCTCCCTTACAATACCTTACTGTGCTGTCCACATTCTTGTGATACTGTGAGAACAATAAATGACCACCAGACCTGAAGGGGTCACGTCAATGACAGGCACTGTGACACAGCATTAGGCTGCTGCCTAAGGATTACTTACCTGAGAGATTACTGGGTGGGGAATGTATATAGCATGGACACACTGGACAAAGGAGTAGTTCTCACTCCAGTGACAGAATGGGGTGGAATCAGAACACAGCACCATTTAAAACTTAAGAATTGGTTATTTCTGAAATTTTAGATTTAGTGTTTTCAGACCATGTTTGATTGCAGGTTACTAAACTCCTAGACGTGGGGAGAAGACTGCAGGCTGTTTAAGCCATCAACTTTAACAGCAGTTAACAGCTTCCTCATTTTATTTTACACTACCCTATTTCAGATGAGCTTTATTTTGTAAATTTGTTCCTGGTAAAGTTACTCTGTTTCCCTTTGCCCAATGCTGTAACTTCTAAACCAGCAACATTAACAACCTTTAGATGGCCCACATACTAGCTATTACAGACTACTATTACAAGAAAGGGGAACAAAAAAGGAACAATCACTAGTCCCCAAACTAAAACAATCTGTTGTTAATTTTTTAAAACTTAGAACATCTGGTAGTCTTCAAATAAGATCAGAGTGTGGGGCTAAGGACTTGCTAATCTGTTCTATATTTAAAAGACTAATGTTTAACTTGCATGAAAATAATGTGCTTATCCAAAGGATTAGAAACAAACCCAGGAAACAAGGTCATTTGTATCCAGGAATGTTCCAACTAAGAGGAAGGCAAATATTTTTTAAGCCAGAGAGATAGTCATTGTCTTAGTTTGTTTCTTCATTGCTGTGACAAAATACTCTGACCACTACCAACTTGGGGAGGAAAGGGTTTATTTAGCTAACATATCCCGGGTCACAGTTCATCCGGGAGCCCAAGGTAGGAACCTGGAGGCAGGAGCTGGAACACAGGCCATGGAGGAACGCTGCTTACTGGCTTGTTCCCCTGGCCCCTGCTCAGCCTGTTTTTTTATGCAACACAGGCCCACCTGCCCAGGGGTGGCACCACCCACAGTGGGCTAGGCCCTCCCACATCACTCATCAAGAAGATGCCCCTCAGACATGGCCACAGGCCAGTCCAATAGAGGAAATTCCCCAACCCAGGTGTGTCAAGCTGACACTAAAGCTATCCAGTACAGTCATCAAGATGGCTAGCCACCCTAGATGTGTGACCCAAGCACAGCTTCCCCAACAGCTGTCACTGCCTATGTCTCCCTTCCCTATAAGAACTCTGAGCCATGAGTTAACCAACATGGAGCTTTGAGGACAATACCCCATTTATCTTCTCAAGATGTTGGCCATTGAATAACCCCTCATTCCTTCCCACTAACTCCGGACCCCCACATATTTGGCCTTCAACTAGCGGGCAACCCAGACCTGAGTTTGGCCACACAAGCCCTGTATACAGGAGCTCTCCAAGTCAGAAGAGGGTGTTGAAGTCTCTGGAGCTGGAGTTACAGGTGGTTATGGGCTGTCTGTCATGGGTGCTGGGAATTGGAACACCCTCTGGAGGCCCAGCAAATGCCTTAAAACTACTGAGCCATCTCTCCAGCCCAGATTTCCTTTTAATTAGATGCACTGGGATATTACTGGTGCGTCCTCGACTGTCCCCTTAGACCCCAAACACTAGAGATGCTAGAGGATCCCAGGATCAATCCACCAAAGTAGTTCCCACTTCTACTCACTGTATAATGAGCTTTGGGTCTATTACAAGCACATCTCTACAAACCTTAGAAACCCATTTCCAGTTCTCTTGTGTGTCCATCTAGGAGTATACAGACTATAAGTATGAGGACTATATTTAACTTGAAAGAAACCTGCCAAACTCTTCCACAACTACTGAACCACTTGAGACTCATGCCAGCAGGAAACAAGATGGCATTCCCCAAAGGGAGGCCACAGCCTGAAGAAACCACAAAACATTAACACAAGCCAAAGAGGCACTGGGTCACAGGGAGCTGGCACAGACCAGATTTCTACAGGAGCCAAGAAGCCAAGCAGACCTCCCTGGAAACCAGGACTCCCTGCAGCCCTGAGCCTCCCTCAGCTATACCCTTTCTCTAGAAAATTCAGATGGGTGTGAGTGACTATACCAAGAAGTTCTAGTCCAATAGGATGTGCATCCTCCCTACCCCTCCCCATCCACAGATGCCAGCACCTAAACCCAGGCCCTGAACAGGGCTCGGCACACAAGAAGCAGGCAAGTGCATGTACAAACCAGATCCATTAAAGGCCAGGCCAGAGTGAGCACTTCCTGATTCAAATCCCAAGTTTCCAAGTGGACAGCCTGCCACTGAACAAAAAACACTCAGCCCAGCGGGAACATTCAGGTGCCAGATGCTCAGAGTGAGGTCTGAGACAGCAACACTGTGTTTGAGAGTGTGAAACCCATGCCCAGCACACACCGCTAAGGGTTGGCCAGTAGGATCGGCCCCTAGCTTGCCAGGAGCCTCTCTCCGTTTCTACCCAGACCCTCTAAACAAGTGTGAGACTACCCATCGGCAGATAAAAAAAGTGAAGCCCAGGGAAGTGACAAAAATCATAAGAGATTGAGCTGTAGGGCACCAACTGGGATTCAGGCCACGATGGCAGGAGGGAGAGGAGATGGTGGTCATCCCAGGCCATGCCCGCCCTGCCTAGAAGAACACGAGAATGTCACACTCACTTCCTTGACTTGGCACACTCCTTCCTCCAGTTCTTTACCAGCACGGGTACCACTTCTTCTGACGTGTCCTCCTTATTCAGTGACCAGAGGTTACTGTCCTCCAGGGGCTGGCGGTAGCCCTGGATCATCAACCTGGGAGGCAGACAGTTAGAGGGAGATGATGAGAGCTCAAGGAAGAAGGAAGTGGGGTTCCCTACACACCTGTTCAAGTGGGGAAACACTATGGCTAATTCTACTAGGTCTTCAGGAAAAACAGACGCATCTGCATCTTTACAGACATGTACACAGTGTGCTCAGGGAGAAATAATGGAATGGCTCTAATTTTTGTTCTGGTTTTTTTATTTTTAATTATTTTTTTAACTATTTTTTTTAATTTTCATTTATTATTTTATGTGTATGCGTGCACTGCCTGCATGTAGGTAAGTGCACCCATGTTGTGCAATGCCCACGGAGGTCAGAAGAGGCCGTCGGATACCCTGGGAAGGGAGTTACGGACAGTCGTTAGCTGCTAGGTGGGTGCTGGAATTTGAACCTGGGTCTTCTGCAAGAACAACCAGAGTTCTTAACCGCTGAGCCATCTCTCCGGCCCTAATTTATTTATTTTTAAACAGGACCTAATGTGGCCCAGGCTAGCCTCAAACTCATTATATAGCTAAAAATGACTTTGAACTCCTGATCCTCTCCCTTCCACCTCCCCAGAGTTGGGATTATAGGCGTGCACCACCACCGCCACACCCAGTTTATGTGGTGCCAGGAATCAAACACAGGGCTTTGTGCAAGCAGTGTGCCCACTGAGCCACTACTTCATCCTTTCCTTTCAAAAATTTTTATTTATAGCCAGGCATGGTGGCACATGCCTTTAATCCCAGCACTTGGGAGGCAGAGGCAGGTGGATCTCTGTGAGTTCGAGGCCAACCTGGTCTACACAGTAAGTTCCAGGCCAGCTGGGGCTACAGGGAGACCTTATCTCAGACCAAAAAAAAAAAAATTATTATTTTTATTTATGTGTATGAATGCATTGCCTGCATGTATGTAAGTGCACCTGTGTCATGCAATGCCGGAGGTGAGAAGAGGGCATTGGATCCCCTGGACCAGTTGTTAGTCCAGGTGGGTTCTGGGAATCAGACCCAGGTCTTTGTGTGCATATGTCCATCCTTCTGTGTGTGCATGTGTGCGCCACATGCATACATATGCCTTGTGGAAGCCAGAACAGGACATCAGATCTCCTGGACCTGGAGTTACAAGTGGTTTTGAGCTGCCTGATGTGAATGTTGTGATGTGAACTTGAGTCCTCTGGAAGAGCAGCAAGCACTCTCAACCTACACGTCACCTATAGCCCAGAGGGACTCTGCTCACAGAACTGTTAGTGCACCTGAGTCTCAGTGGCTATCATTCCACAAGGTCAGCTGGGGGATTCCCACCTGTGCCATGGCAGTGCTCAGAAAATTTCAGATTTCAAATTTAGAAAGCTCAGCACATGCTAGACTTTTTAGGAGTTTGAACACTTTCAGACTAAATACAAATCTAATGTTTTCTTTGGAAATAATCTCAAATTTATAGACAAAGAAATGAATTGCATGAGTTCTCTTAGATTACCACACTTTTGCTATCATTGCATCTCTGTTCATCTGCACATGCACGCACATTATTTTATTCTAAGCCTTTTGACAGTTGGCTGGAGATCATATGCTTTTACTGGCTGAATGTTGGTGTGATCCCTCTTGAGAACAAGGGCAGCTTGTGTGTGACCCAAAGACAGTGGCCAAAGTGGGAACAGCATTATCATGGATGCTGTGGCCTGCAGTCCACATCCCAACACCATCTGTCCGTTTTTTTCTTTTATTTTTTTGAGACAGGGTCTCATTATATGGTACTGGCTGGCCTGGAATTCACTATGTAGACCAGGTTGGCCTCAAACTCACAGAGCTAGTGATCATCTTTAACAAAGAAATTTGAAAACTAATTGCCAAAAGTATTTAATTGAGCCAGGAGTGGTGGTACTGTAACCCCAGTACCTTGGAGGTGGAGGCAGGGGGCCCAGTAGTTCACAACCAGCCTGGGCTACATGAGACCCTACTGCAAAACAAACAGAGAAACTGGATAGGATTCAGAGGTTATGGGCATCGGCTGCTCTTGCAGAGGATCCAGATTCCGTTCCAGGTCCCACATGGCAGCTAACAACCATTCGTAACTCCAGTTCCAGGCAATCTAACACCCTCTCTGGCCCCTGCAGGCGCTGCACACACAGTGCACTTGCAAACATGCAAGTAAAACACTCATATGCATAAAATTAAGATAAATTAATTAGTTAATATTTGTATAACGTTCATAAACACAAGAGCAGTACTTATTATGGGAAGAAACAGACTCAAACAACTCCCAGCAGCGTTGACTGTGGGCAGAAAAAACGTAATTGTTTAAAAAAATTGGAGGAAGCTAGGAGTGTGGGTGCACACCTTTAATTCCAGCATTCAGGGGGATCTCTGTCAGACTGAGCCAGCCCGGTCTATGTAGCAAGTTCCAGGAGAGCTGGGGCTAAGGGAGACCCTGTCTCACTTAGAAAAAAAATGGAGAAGGGAGCCATGAAAACCTCATCAGTTTCTAGGTGTTTTTGTGTTGATATATGCAGATTTTCTTACCTACATTTCTACAGTGTGTGTGTGTGTGTGTGTGTGTGTGTGTGTGCGTGTATGTTTGTTCACCCAACCAATTACCCCCTACCACACGGGCCAGGCCTCACCCTGTAATCCACCAGAAAGTGATCCTGGAAAGGAAAGAGGCGCTGGATTCCGGGCATGGATTCTAGGAGACACAAAGCACAGGATGAGGAAGAGAAGGGAAATTCAAAGTTGAGCTTCCCACTGATGTGAGGGTGAACTCGAGTTGACCACCCATCCCTCAAAGGCCCACAACCACACCCTCAGTCTTCTGAACCCCACATGACTACTCTCTTGAGTCCCATGAGAGACAGACCCGAGACCGCCCTCCAGTTCCACCCAACAAATACGTCCCGAGTGAACAACATGCTACAGACCTGCCTCATCGCATGTCCATAGGCAACCCCATTTGTTGTTGTTACCAAAGTCCCCTCCTCACTCACCCATTCATCAAGGGTTTGCTGAGCACATACTACATGCTGAGGACTCTACAAAGGACTACAGATCTACCTTTTCCTACACTCCCACCTCAACCTTGGGTAATACTTATCATTGTTTCCACTCTACAAAGCCATTTACTGAATAGATTTTTATCAAGCACCTACTATGCACCAGGTGCTCTACACTTTTTTTTTTCAACAGTGTGAAAGAACAAACCCAGGGTCTTGCACACGCTAGGCAAGTGTTCTTCCACTGAGCGGCAGTCCAGCCCACTGTGCACTATTCAGTATCCCTGTGGAACTCTTTAAACATGGTATTACTATTACCTTCTCTTCATTCATCCATCCAGCACATATTTCCTGAGCGTCTCCAATATGCAGAGAAAATATACAAATCTGAACAAAGGGATGCAACCCCGTCTATGCCTTGTGATCTACTGTACCGTGCTCTACAACCTCTGTTCCAAGCACTTTACGCAAACAACCTCACTGCGTCTCCACCACCACCTCACAAGGCAGGGGCCAATGTCACCCGATTTTGGAGTTAAGTAGGAACAGAAGTGAAATGGCTTCTCCAAGATCCTCTATCTAGAAGTGGAGGCAGGATGTGCGCCTCAGTCAGGCTCCAGAGACAGACAGTGATCAAATGATCACATGAGCACCAAAACCATACAAAACAACTGCAACAATTGCCTCAAGGGGGGTTGACATGATGGATGAGATCCTGGAAGGTGGTGACAGCTGGCCTGGTTCACCAGCATCAGAGAACCCACCCCGAGGAAGTCAGTGTTTGAAGGGTGAGTGAATGGAACCAAGTCAGGAGGAAGAGTCAGGCAATGCTGGCAGAGAGCAGTGTGTGCAAAGGCCTCCAGGTATAGAGAAGCACAGCAAAGTCCCCTTCTCACTCACCTATTCCAGGCTCCAGGGACCCAGAGGGACTTACAGAGTCTCCAGCGAAGGCCAGGGTATATCATGGTACATCACTTGCTAGACTGTGCACAGCCCTGGGTTCAACACCCAATGAGGCAAAGTGATCTACACTAGAGACTGTATAGTCTACACTGGAAGTCAGGTAAGGAATTCTGGTTTCATGTTGTGGGCAGTGGGGAGTTGTAGACAGATTTTGAACCCATTATCAAAAAATCTCCTTGCCAGAGAGATGAATCAGAGCCCCAGCTCAACAGTATGTGGGCAAAGAAAAAGGCATTAGCACAGAGTCTAGGTTCAGAAAGGTCAGAGCTCAACATGCTGCAGATCTGAATTCTGAAGCAGCTTCTGTGGAGGGAAGGCAGGGTGCTGGCAGATGGATGGGCTTTCAGCAAGGATGCTGCTCAGAGTCTCAGAGTTTTGCAGAGCTACGGCATTCAGAGAGCAGGTGAGATGGTCCACTCTAACCACAGTTTCCCACCAGCCCATTTATCTAGGCCCCACCTCTGGAGTTCCAGGTGAACCTGGTTTGGGGTAGAATCGGTATACCAAAATTTGTTTCTGTTTGAAACTTGCACATTTTTCTTGGCAAAGTCACAGGGCAGTAAATGTACAGGGTTAACCCAGAACATCAAATTTACCCTCAGACACGTTCAGAGCCCTAGAAGCAGCCAGAAGGGCCCCAGCTGGCTGAAAGGGGAAGTGAGGAGGACAGTGCACCAAAATGCACATACACCAATTCAGACAATGGAAAGAAACTATCCCGGCGTCACCTACAAAGAGATGCTCAGCAACCCAGTCATCACTCTGTAAGCAGAATAAATGGAGGAAACAAGCATTTCCTCCACCTTCTCTAAAGGAACCCCACACCAGAGCCATTTCACACACATTGGGGTTAGGGGACTGCAGCTAAAAAGTGAAGAAAGTAATGTCACTGGAGGATGTAATGGTTCATTTTGCAACCACACTGGCTTTTGGCAATATTTGATGACATTAGCGAATTATGAGTGATTTTAGACCAGATAATGACTGTATTTTTTTTTAATCCTTATCTCTTAGATAGTATTACAGAATAACGTTGGGCAAAGCAAGTATACAAGGGCACTCTACTGTTTTTGCAAATTTTTGTCAGCTGAACTACGTGGAAATGAGATGTTACAGGCACAGCATGGGAGGCAGAGGCAGGAGAGCTACTGTAAGTTCCAGTCCAGCCAGGGCAACACAGAGAATCTTCTTTTTAAAAAAACTGCCGGGCAAGGTGGCACATGCCTTTAATCCCAGCACTTGGGAGGCAGAGGTAGGCGGATCTCTGTGAGTTCAAGGCCAGCCTGGTCTTCATAGTGAGTTCCAGGACAGCTGGGACAACAAGGAGACCCTGTCTCAAAAAGCCCAAAAAAAAAAAAAAAATTCTTAAAAAAAAAAAAAATTAAGATGCTGTGTATGGTGGTGCACACTTTTAATCCTAGGCACAGGTACATGGATCTCCGTGAGATCGAAGCCAGCCTGGTCTACACAGCCAGCTGGGGCTATAGGAAGATCCTGTTTCTAAAGAACCACCACAAAAAACTTAACATTATTATTGAAAAAAAAAAAGAAACGAGAACCTGGCACTGGGGATGTAACTCCAATGGCAGAGTGCTTGCCTAGCAAGCAGGAAATCCTGTGTTTCAATCCCAGTACCTCCTAAAACTAGGCATGGTGGTGTATGCCTGGGGCCCCAGCAACTACACAGGAAAAAAAAGATAAAAGATAAAATCTGCCCCCAATAATACACACATATACACAGAGGCCCTCCAGTGATACACACATATACACATACACACAGAGGCTCTCCAGTGATACACACATATACATATACACACAGAGGCCCTCCGGTGATACACACATACACACATACACACAGAGGCCCTCCGGTGATACACACATACACACATACACACAGAGGCCCTCCAGTGATACACACATACACACATACACACAGAGGCCCTCCAGTGATACACACATACACACATACACACAGAGGCCCTCCGGTGATACACACATACACACATACACACAGAGGCCCTCCGGTGATACACACATACACACATACACACAGAGGCCCTCCGGTGATACACACATACACACATACACACAGAGGCCCTCCGGTGATACACACATACACACATACACACAGAGGCCCTCCGGTGATACACACATACACACATACACACAGAGGCCCTCCGGTGATACACACATACACACATACACACAGAGGCCCTCCGGTGATACACACATACACACATACACACAGAGGCCCTCCGGTGATACACACATACACACATACACACAGAGGCCCTCCGGTGATACACACATACACACATACACACAGAGGCCCTCCGGTGATACACACATACACACATACACACAGAGGCCCTCCGGTGATACACACATACACACATACACACAGAGGCCCTCCGGTGATACACACATACACACATACACACAGAGGCCCTCCGGTGATACACACATACACACATACACACAGAGGCCCTCCGGTGATACACACATACACACATACACACAGAGGCCCTCCGGTGATACACACATACACACATACACACAGAGGCCCTCCGGTGATACACACATACACACATACACACAGAGGCCCTCCGGTGATACACACATACACACATACACACAGAGGCCCTCCGGTGATACACACATACACACATACACACAGAGGCCCTCCGGTGATACACACATACACACATACACACAGAGGCCCTCCGGTGATACACACATACACACATACACACAGAGGCCCTCCGGTGATACACACATACACACATACACACAGAGGCCCTCCGGTGATACACACATACACACATACACACAGAGGCCCTCCGGTGATACACACATACACACATACACACAGAGGCCCTCCGGTGATACACACATACACACATACACACAGAGGCCCTCCGGTGATACACACATACACACATACACACAGAGGCCCTCCGGTGATACACACATACACACATACACACAGAGGCCCTCCGGTGATACACACATACACACATACACACAGAGGCCCTCCGGTGATACACACATACACACATACACACAGAGGCCCTCCGGTGATACACACATACACACATACACACAGAGGCCCTCCGGTGATACACACATACACACATACACACAGAGGCCCTCCGGTGATACACACATACACACATACACACAGAGGCCCTCCGGTGATACACACATACACACATACACACAGAGGCCCTCCGGTGATACACACATACACACATACACACAGAGGCCCTCCGGTGATACACACATACACACATACACACAGAGGCCCTCCGGTGATACACACATACACACATACACACAGAGGCCCTCCGGTGATACACACATACACACATACACACAGAGGCCCTCCGGTGATACACACATACACACATACACACAGAGGCCCTCCGGTGATACACACATACACACATACACACAGAGGCCCTCCGGTGATACACACATACACACATACACACAGAGGCCCTCCGGTGATACACACATACACACATACACACAGAGGCCCTCCGGTGATACACACATACACACATACACACAGAGGCCCTCCGGTGATACACACATACACACATACACACAGAGGCCCTCCGGTGATACACACATACACACATACACACAGAGGCCCTCCGGTGATACACACATACACACATACACACAGAGGCCCTCCGGTGATACACACATACACACATACACACAGAGG